GGGATTCTATTTCTGTGAGGAAAACAGCCTGGATATTGAGGGATAGCCAGCAGTCTCTGCCTTCTCCTCCTTTATTGTATTTAGTTCACCTGGGCCAAGTCAGAAATTCTCTTGAAATTAAATCCAATGCACTAAATCTCAGTGGGAATATTAACAGATTTCATGGAGCTGATAGCATCAGAGGGAAAAATAGTCATTGATGAAAAGCATATCTGAAACCAGGCTATATGCACTCCAATTATGCAGACCTTATGAAAATACAACAGCTTGTGGCATGAATAAATACTCAAAAATAGGAGTTTTAGAACTGAAAGACTAAAGATTTTCAGGAGCTATTGAATGAATGCAAGATGTTAACTTTGATTCTGTGAAGCATTGATTTTGTGTATATTAACATGAAATCAAAATTATACTTACACCAATAATTTTCATAAAAAAAGTATTTTCTAGAAAACTATTTTTAAATGGATCATTAAAGCATTATAAATAGAAGTCCCTGAACACTCTTGGACCCAATCAAAAATACTTCTCTTTTGTGAGAAATTCATGAGAAATTTTTTGATAGACTTTTGAGATTTAGCTTTAAGAAGTAATATGCAAAGTAAGGTAAGCCAAAGTGGGGCTGGGGGTATATTTTCCCTTCAGTTGCTGGCCTGGGTATTTTACAAGTTTGATGGGTTCTTCTCCATCTAAAGATAAATACTATATTTAAAAATATCTGAAGACTGAAGCTACAAAAGCAAAACTAGAGATAGAGAATTAAAAAAAGACAGTGAGTTTCAATTCTTTAAATTTTCATTTTTTTCCAAGATAACCTTTATTTATTTATTTATTTTTCATGTTTGAAAATGAAACATTTATTGCTGTGTTTATGTATCAAGTATATAAACTGACTTGATTTACCTTTTTCTACGTATTTTGAGGTATAAGAAACTGACATTAAAGTATCAGGGTTTTTATAATCTTTCAAATTAAAACCAAAGGATCTCCTCTGTAGGAAAGGTGGCACTTACATAATTATAATTTCAAGTGTTGTGCAAATAACCTTCAAGAACACACACCATATTTTACATAAACCAGAGTCTTAGAAATTGATTTCTTTAAAAAAAATGACATTTTTTCATAATAATTTATTCTGTAAAAGCTGACTTTTCCTACATAACCATGAGAAACAGGTAGAAAGAAAAAAAGACAATGGAAGGGGGTCTTTATTTTTATGAGTACAAATATAACAAAGTGTCAACAAACAAAGTGTCAACAAAATATAACAAAGACATGGTGGTGATTGGTACTATATGAATGACTCAGAAAAACAAAATAGCTCATATCAAGTGATTTGCTGTCTTGGCTCTAGTTGTTTAACTGCCACATACAGAGTTTTAACTGCACACTTTTCTAGTTTTCTGAGTTCTTTTTAGCCCGAATCATCAAAATGAGAAAACTTCTACATCTAAACCAACTTTTTATAACTTGTTAATATCAGAAATGACCATGCTCGTGACTGCAATCCAAGTTTTAAAATTCTATTTGAAATCTTTAATATAAAACATAGTACTTTCTGGAGCAAATTTCATTATGCCAATTTAATGCCATGATCAACTTTATATTATAGTTAAACTGTCTTGTTTTTCCATTTTTACTAAAATCATTTTAGCTGGAATCAATTCCAGTTCTTTTACATTTGAAGTTATAATTCAGTATTATTTTTTCTTTTCATGAAATATATTAGCCATTGGAGCTTCTGACATCATGAACTTTCTTTTGTGGATAATTAACCAAGGCCAATTTTTTTTTCTGCACAAACTTTGTAGATCTAAATTTTGACATGAATATTTGATTTTTTTTTTTTTCCGCGATACGCGGGCCTCTCACTCTTGTGGCCTCTCCCGTTGCGGAGCACAGGATCCGGACGCGCAGGCTCAGCGGCCACGGCTCACGGGCCCAGCCGCTCCACGGCATGTGGGATCTTCCCGGACCGGGGCACGAACCCGCGTCCCCTGCATCGGCAGGCGGACTCTCAACCACTGCGCCACCAGGGAATCCCTGAATATTTGATTTTTACATCAACTTTTACTAAACGACAAATTTTACCTTGTCTGTATTTCTCGGCTTTTTCAGTTTTCAATGTTACCAATCAGTAGTTCTTTTTCAGCCAGTGTTTATTCTACAATAAAATTGTGTCCAGTTTTAGTCAATGTTAATTTCATTTTGTATTGATTATTTTTATCAAGTCCAGTTTTTCCTGTCAATCTAGCCACAGTATTCTTGGTATTCAGATAGCCAGGCCAGGGAATTCCTTGGCGGTCCAGTGGGTAGGACTCTGCGCTTTCACTGCCGAGGGCCAGGGTTCAATCCCTGGTCGGGGAACTAAGATCTGGCAAGCAGTGTGGAGCTGCAAAAAAAAAAGAAAAAGAAAAAAAAAGCCAGGCCAAAAACCAACAAAAAAGTGATAAGTAACTACTCTGACAAATTTGGTGGCTTTATGAAACAGAATTTTTTTTTTAAGAAGATGTTGGGGGTAGGAGTTTATTAATTTTATTTAGTTTTGCTGTGTTGGGTCTCCATTTCTGTGCGAGGGCTTTCTCTAGTTGTGGCAAGCAGGAGCCACTCTTCATCGTGGTGCGCGGGCCTCTCACTATCGTGGCCTCTCTTGTTGCGGAGCACAGGCTCCAGATGCACAGGCTCAGTAGTTGTGGCTCACGGGCCTAGTTGCTCCACGGCATGTGGGATCCTCCCAGACCGGGGCTCGAACCCGTGTCCCCTGCATTAGCAGGCAGATTCTCAACCACTGCGCCACCAGGGAAGCCCTATGAAACAGAATTTGACAATGGAACAGATCCTAGGAATCACCTAGTTCAATCCTTTCATTTAACAAGTGAAAAAACAGGTGTAGAGAGGTCACATGACTTGCCAGAGAGAGGTTAGAAAGGCTTGAGCAAAGGCAGTGATTAGTTAGAATGGAGGTGATGGGCAGATGTGATAAATATTGAAGAGATCAAGATCAGGACAAGGAGAGGAACAAGTCTGGGATGATGCTGGATTTCAGGCTTTGGTGAGTGGGTCGACATTGATGCTGTTAACTGAGACAGAATACTTGAGTAGGTTAGGTTTGGGGGCCAGGGTAGATAATGAGTTCAGTTTTAAATGTCCAGTTTGAGATGCCAACTGGATATCTCAGTGGAATCTGAGTACTTCAATAAGAAATTTTGAAAGGCTTGGGTGGTGAGATAGGCTTGGGAGTTATCAGCTTACAGGTGATAGTCACATGAAAGTAGACAAAAATCACCATCCTGGGAAGATATCCATCAAGGAGGCAAAGTTGTAGCTTGCAGGCCTCATCTGGCCTGCAGATGCATTTTGTTTGATCCAAAAAAGAGTTCAACAAAATTTGAATTAGTTACCAACATTTGAAATTTGAGAGATTTCATGTATCTGCATATTGATTTCTCTTTAAAAATGGGAGGATCTATCGCTAGGAAAGATTGCTGGTTGGCAAAAATCAATTAGAGCTGAGTAGGGACCATGAGCTCCAGTTCTTCATAGTGTCTATCCACGAGGTTCATTCCTTTGTGTTCACTGCCTGGGCACTGTAGGCTTTTGGGCTTGCAGCCCCTGATGTAGCATAAGAAGATCAAGGGGTGAAGAGTTAAGGAAAAGGAAAGGAAAAAGGAGCCCCTTGATGGAAACTGAGGGGAGATGATCACAAAGGTAAGAGGAGAACTGAGAGGGCTTGGTAACAAAGAAGCAAAGGGATCAGGGTTGAAAGGAGGAGGAGAAAATCTTGTGAAGTATTAGAAATTGTCTTAGCTGTGTTATCCAGCTATTTGCAAAAGCCCAAAATTTAGAAGTCATTTTGACACCTTTCTTTCCCTATGGCCTTATCTAATCTATCTCCAAGTCTGTCATATCTAACTCCAAATTATTCCTTAAATTTGTTCACTTCTCTCCATCATTTCTTACCTGATCATTGCAAAAGCAACTGTTCTCTTTGAACCCTTTCTCGGACTCTAAATCGTTTATTCTTATACACAGCAGGCAGGGTGATCTTATAAAACCAGATCCTGTCACTTGCATGTTTAAAACTCTTCACTGGCTTCCCATTATAGTTAAAATAAAATCCATGCCTCCTGCAAAGAAACTTTGCGAGATCAGAACTCTCCTTGCCTTGTTAATCTCATCTTCTATTCTTCCCCTAGCCTATTTTCTCACTTTCTCAAGGGCACCACTACATTCAGTCCCCTCCCCATAGCTTTCCATCATTCTCTTGGTTGTTCTTGCTCCAGATCTTCATAGAGCTGGCTTCTTCCCTTCTCAGCTTAATGAGCCTCTTCATAGGGCACTTCTCTGACATCCTCCTTTAGTTTTTGAGTAACTCACATGATTTTTTTGGTTTTTAAGTGAAAATAAAAGTTATGATTACACTATACTGTAGTCTATTAAGTGTGCAATAGCATTATGTAAAAAAATACTTACCTTAATTAAAAATACTTTATTGCTAAAAAATGCTAACTATTATCTGACAATGGCAGGGTTGCCCAGTGGCATAAAGTGAAGGGCAATAAAATGAGATACGCCTAAAATATCTTTGGTGAGTTATTCAATGTTTGCTTTCTCCATGAGGAAGCATTGTGTCTGTTTTGTCATCGCTGTATCCCAGATTCTGTAACAGTGCTTGCCTGGAACACAATAGGACTTAAATAAACTGTGCTGGAACGAACGAGTATACAAACAAGAGTTATATACGGAAGAGGAAGAGCAAAAGAAAGAATAAAAAGTCCATGTCTGTATTTCAATAACATTTTTTTTCTTAAGTCCCTATAAGATTTTGCAACTAGGAGTAGGAGGGTAAGACGGCGACCCTACAAAATCCAAAACAAGCCTTTTTCACGCCTTCCCAAGCCCCAGGCAGCTCCGCGCCTGCGCAGACCTCCACTGCCCACCCCCTGCACTCAAGGGGCGGGGCCAGGCGGACGGCGGCTCGGGCGCGCGAGGATGACGTCACTCGGCGCGTGCCCGGGTAGCCCGTGGTAACACCTAGTCTGCGGAAGTGGAGACGAGCGGGCAGGCGGCTGACACAGGTAACCTGAGCGCTCCCTGTTGGGTCCCTGCCTTCCTCTCCAGCGGCACCTGGATGGCGGCGGGGTCAGCAGCGTCCCGTTTTGAAGGCAGCCAGGAGCCCACCCCTGCCCTCATCTTTCTTGATCACCTGGGTTCCCATTCCCTCTCAGTCCTTCCAGACTCCTGAAGCTGAACCAGTTCTGGGGACTGGGCTGAGCCTGCCACTTCTCTCCGCCTCCACCCTCGGGTGGTGATGGGCTCTGACGCTCCTCTCCCCGGTGGCACAGACATTTCCCAGACTGCAGTTGCCGCCTCCTTCCTGTGTTGCCTCCAAGGCCCACCTAACCCGCCTCTCTCCGCTCCTAGCCCCACAGGGCTCAAATCCAATCTTGTTTAAGGAGACAGAACAGTTTCCGATTCTGTTCATTTCCACTTGCAGTGACACCCGGCCACCTTCCCTCCTCCCCGAGGATCCTTACTGAGAGCACCAAGTTTTGAGTTATTGTGTCCCTAAAGAGCATTCGTTCACTGTCAGTCTGGAGTTTTGCTCATTAAGGCATGTGTTTGTTGGGTAAGGGGGTGGCGCAGTAATGTGAAAATATATTGCTATAATAAATGATCCACATGGCATCCAGTCAACCATCGAGATAGATGAAACAGTTACAGCATTTCATTAAAATGCTCCTGTCCTGTATTTCTTTTTTGTTTTCAAGCAATGATTACAATTATCCTCGCAAAGGTAGCCGTCAAAATAAATAAGCAACAGTACACAACTAGGAATGTTTAGACCGCCAAAAAATGATAGGATTCGTATTGTTGATAAAGGAATGCGGGTTATTACAAAACCAACCAGAAAAGATATGGGTGGGGAAACAGGATTCCGACGTTTTTGTCTCATTTGATGATTTGGTTTTGTATTTTCTTGTACTTTCATATGCTCCATTTTTGAATAGGGCATATGGTACTGTACTTACTGTAATTCTGAGAAGCCTATGAATGACTTGCTAATTGGTAAGATTAGGCTCTTACATTTGGGGGACAAAGTAGAAAAAGGTTAGGGAATAATAGTAGTCGCTGTTTGTTGACCATCTGCTATATCCCAGGGACTGTGTTCAGCACTTTGCATGTGTTTTTTCCTTAGCTCACACAAGAACCTTGTGAGTTAGGAATTAGTATCCTCAACTTACAGGGAAGGAAACTTTGGTTCAGGTATGTGAAATTAACTTGCCAAAAATTCATGGTAACTATACTGGTGGAGACAAGCTTGAAGTTCAGTTCTATGTATGAGTTGAAAGCCTGTACTTTTTTTTTTTTATAACTCACTATGAGTGATCAGATTCTAGGCTTTTTACAATAATGACACAATTCTATGAGTTTATTCACTCATCTATCCAAATGATTTGACACTTCCTAATATCTTTAGTATTAAGTTCTTATATACCTAGAATCAAAACACGTGAAAACCTTAATTTATTTATGATCCCCCTACACACACCACACACACACACACACACCACACACATACCATATTTCATTAAGAATGAGATAATTGGCAAATAAGATTGCTCAGTAACTTTCTGTTTAGAGCTCTCAGGGAATGAGTAATTTTGGACAGTTGAAAGTTTTACCCCTTTAGAAATGAAAATCATATTGACAGTTTTGGATGGAAAAAATTTAAATGCACTAAATAATTCTTTGCCTTCTAAAACAGTAAGTATACTGAACATATTTTAACTTTCCCTTATGTCTCAGAGCAGTCATTATGAATCTCATTTATTGTTGTGTTGTGATTTGGTGATTTCCTCAGGACATTTGTTATATTTGGCCCCCAAACTGCTTTGCATTTTGAGTTTTCCTAGACTTTATATAGTGTACTCCTTAATATCACCAAGAGATTGTAAACCATAGCAATTAAAATTAAGGACCGGGAAAGCACACTTGCAGGATTCCAGTCCTTACTCTGCCACTTACTAGTAGGACAGTGAGCCCAGACAACGTGGTTGACCCCTCTACACCTCAGTTTCCTCATTTGTAAAATGGGAATAATAAGAATACTTGTTGTCTGAGGTTGTTGTGAGGGATGTGAGTTAGTAGTATATGTAAAGAGGTTATAACAAACCACGCATATTCTAAGAGCCATGTAAGTGTTTCTAATATTATTATTAGTCTGGTTTTGACTTTTTGTTCTTTGAATATTGTATTCTAGTTCTTTGAAAAATTTTTTTCTAATTTATTTTTATTTTTTTAATTGACGTATAGTTGATTTACAATGTTCTGTTATTTTCAAGTGTACAGCAAGGTGATTCAGTTATACATACATATATATATTCTTTTCCATTATAGATTATTACAAAACATTGAATATAGTTCCCTGTGCTATACAGTAGGTCCTTGTTGTTAATCTATTTTATATGTAGTAGTATGTATCTGTTAATCCCAAACTCCTAATTTATCCCTCCTGCCTCTTTCGACTTTGGTAACCATAAGTTTGTTTTCTGTGTCTGTGAGTCTATTTCTGTTTTGTAAATAAGTTTGTTTGTATCCTTTTTTTAGATTCCACATATAAGTGATATCATATGGTATTTGTCTTTCTCTGTCTGACCTACTTCACTTAGTATGGTAATCTCTAGGTCCATCCATATTGCCATCCATATTGCTGCACATGGCATGATTTCATTCTTTTTATGACTGAGTAATATTCCATTGTACATATATACCACATCTTCTTTATCCATTCATCTGCTGATGGACCTTTAGTTTGCTTCCATACCTTGGCTATTGTAAATAGTGCTGCTGTGAACATTGGGGTGCATATATCTTTTTCAATTAGAGTTTTTGTCTTTTCTGAATATATGCCCAGGAGTGGGATTGCAGGATCATATGGTAATTCTAATTTTAGTTTTTTAGGGAACCTCCATACTGTTCTCTATAGTGGCTACACCAGTTTATATTCCTACCAACAGGGTAGGAGGGTTCCTTTTTCTCCACACCCTCTCCAGCATTTATTATTTGTAGACAATTTAATGATGGCCATTCTGACTGGTGTGAGGTGATACCTCACTGTAGTTTTGATTTGCATTTCTCTATGAAAATTGTTATTCTTTGAATAGTATTTGATATGTGGTAATTACAAGAAAATTAAATTATACTAACTAGAATCCTGTATCCTAACCTGTATGTTAATTAATTAATTTCTTTCTAGTTTCTTTCTAGTGTCTTTTCTCTGCTTTATTTTCTTACTTTTTAACATCCTTATTGGAATATAATTGCCTTCAATGGTGTGTTAGTTTCTGCTTTATAACAAAGTGAATCAGCTATACACATACATATATCCCCATATCTTCTCCATCTTGCGTCTCCCTCCCACCCTCCCTATCCCACCCCTCTAGGTGGTCACAAAGCACGGAGCTGATCTTCCCGTGCTATACGGCTGCTTCCCACTAGCTATCTGTCTTACATTTGGTAGTGTATATATGTCCATGCCACTCTCTCACTTCATCCCAGCTTACCCTTCCCCCTCCCTGTGTCCTCAAGTCCATTCTCTATGTCTGCGTCTTTATTCCTGTCCTGCCTCTAGGTTCTTCAGAACCTTTTTTTTTTTATTTTCTAGATTCAATATATATGTGTTAGCATACGGTATTTGTTCTTCTATTTCTGACTTACTTCACTCTGTATGACAGACTCTAGGTCCATCCACCTGACTACAAATAACTCAATTTTGTTTCTTTTTATGGTTGAGTAATATTCCATTGTATATATGTGCCACATCTTCTTTATCCATTCATCTGTCGATGGACACTTAGGTTGCTTCCATGTCCTGGCTATTGTAAACAGTGCTGCAGTGAACATTGTGGTACGTGACTCTTTTTGAATTATAGTTTTCTCAGGGTATACACCCAGTACGGGGATTGCTGGGTCATATGGTAGTTCTGTTTTTACTTTTTAAGGAACCTCCATACTGTTCTCCATAGTGGCTGTATCAATTTACATTGCCATCAACATTGCAAGAGGGTTCCCTGTTCTCCACACCCTGTCCAGAATTTATGTTTGTAGATTTTTTGATGATGGCCATTCTGACTGCTGTGAGGTGATACCTCATTGTACTTTTGATTTGCATTTCTCTAATGATTAGTGATGTTGAGCATTCTTTCATGTGTTTGTTAGCTATCTGTATATCTTCTTTGGAGAAATACCTATTTAGGTCTTCTGCCCATTTTTGGATTGGGTTGTTTTTTTGATATTGAGCTTCATGAGTTGCTTGTAAATTTTGGAGATTAGTCCTTTGCCAGTTGCTTCATTTGCAAATGTTTTCTCCCATTCTGAGGGTTGTCCTTTCGTCTTGTTTATGGTTTCTGTTGCTGTGCAAAAGCTTTTAAGTTTCATTTGTTTATTTTTGTTTTTATTTCCATTTCTCTAGGAGGTGGGACAAAAAGGATTTTGCTGTGATTTATGTCATACAGTGTTCTGCCTATGTTTTCCTCTAAGAGTTTTATAGTGTCTGGCCTTCATTTAGGTCTTTAACCCATTTTGAGTTTATTTTTGTGTATGGTGTTAGGTAGTGTTCTAATTTTATTCTTTTACAGGTAGCTGTCCAGTTTTCCCAGCATCACTTATTGAAGAGGCTGTCTTTTCTCCACCGTATATTCTTGCCTCCTTTATCAAAAATAAGGTGACCATATATGCATGGGTGTATCTGTGCGCTTTCCATCCTGTTCCATTGATCTATATTTCTGTTTTTGTGCCAGTACCATACTGTCATGATTACCGTAGCTTTGTAGTATAGTCCGAAGTCCGGGAGCCTGATTCCTCCAGTTTTGTTTTTCTTTCTCAAGATTGCTTTGGCTATTCGGGGTCTTTTGTGTTTCCGTACAAATTGTGAAATTTTTTGTTCTAGTTCTGTGAAAAATTCCATTGGTAGTTTGATTGGGATTGCATTGAATCCGTAGATTGCTTTGGGTAGTATAGTCATTTTAACAATGTTGATTCTTCCAATCCAGGAACATGGTATGTCTCTCCATCT